ACTGGGAGGTTCTATCTATAAAAGGATAATTTAAAAATAATAAATTATAGCCCGGACACACCAAAGGAAGCTGTAGAATCTTTTATAATGGAAGCTTAAAGGACAAGCCAAAAGTTGCTGCCAAGAATGGAAAAGAAATACTTATGCCTGGCTTAGCTAAGGATGTAGTAACATAACATCCCTGCCTAGAATTACAATAATTTTCAATTTAGGTAATAAAACTGATTAAGGAAAATGCATACATGTTTTGCAATAGCAATATATATAGACTCCTGTAAGGCACCTGACTGTGCCACAACTGACTACAACCAGGTCACAGACTGGCCAGGGACAGCTAAAGATACACTTGGACATACCAAAGCAGGGCAAGACACAGGAATCTCCTCAGGGAGTTTCCTGAGGAACCAAGCGAGGTGTCCTCTAACTCAGTGTTCTGCATTGCCTTCCTCCTGATGGAAGCTGCTACTCAGGACAACCCAAAACTTTTAAGTTTGGACCATTACCCTGTTCACATTATTTCACTAAGAAGTGAAGGCCATTTCATATCTTAAATCTATCTGAGCAAAAATCAACATACCCAAATGAAAACCTTCATTGCAAACAATGATTGAAGGCTACAGAACAGGAGGTCCACACCCATTAAACATAAGGTGCTAATGTGCCATGATAGCAACAAGTGATGTGCATTATAAGAGGGTGACACAAAGCTGAAGGATGGGTTTTACATGCTACTGTTGAGAAAACTAGGGCATGGTATTGCCTTTGACATCTTCAATTTGGAACTGAATTTAAAAACCAACAAGGGAGGTATACTTGTGCTGTATGTGGTGTCAATATATGCTCTAGACAAAGTTCCAGCTACTGGTAAAATTCAAAGACCTTAGGTGATGTGGCAGTGTGCATAGATGACCCAGTAACTCTTCCAAGCCTTAGCTGTTTGGGAAGTCCATAATGCCTTTATTTTCAGACAGAGACCAACTGTGAGACATAATAGGCAAAGTACAACATGATACAAGTATTCTCTTATTTTGGTCAAGACACCCCTCATTACTTTTGGGTCTGAAATCTTATAAATTAATCCCTCACTTACTCTACTGTTCTGTTCCTACTCTGCACTGTTATTCTAGTTAGCAAGTCCTGTCAAACCTAGATAAGAGGCAACAGAAGTGACATTAAACATTTCTGCACTAGATTCCTCAAGGCCTGCAAAATTACAGAGAGAAATGTTAATGTGAATGGCAATGAAGTCAAAGTACAAAAAAACCCCAAACTTCCCATTGAGTCACTTTGGGAAAACCAGATCAGTAATGTCCCTTAAACCTCCCACAGCCTAGAACAAGATGTTCCAGAGATCAAGCCCACCACCATGACAATGTGCCCATGAGACATAACATCACAAATGATACACTATCTAGTATTGATTATGATTTGTATGTTTGTTTAGAGGTAAAACTGTCAGTTTTATCCTAAGTGCATTACAAGTACTTGATAAAAAGAATTATATATATGTTCTTCACAATACCTCTGAGCACAACTCCAGCCTCGTTTCTCCTTTCACATTAAACAGTTGGATGCTGCTCATCTTTAAACACCCTGAAGACATTAAATAAATACTAGAAACAGGATCCTAACCTCAGGTACAAGGTACGTATTAGGACAGGCACACCTTTCCTGATCAGTCAGCACTTTTGAAAGCCAAGGAACATTAATTTGACCACACAAATAAAGACTAACAATTAATTAATTAATTGAGAACCATCACACCAGGGTATTCAAATAGGAGACCTCACAGTATAAGCACACACAGCACAAATACCCTGAGGACATTAATCCTTTTGCACCCATCACCCATCTTGTTAACACATCCAAAAGTATGACGCCCTCTCTTTGTATTCGTACCTGGCCTTGTTCAATTCTATATTGGATCAATGGCTCCTGTTTTCATGTACACACAAGTAATAAATTGCAAAAAGTCCATTTTTAACATGGAAATGTCACAAGTATTTCCAGTCTTTCTCAAAAGTTCAGCTACAGAATGCAGAGACAAAAAAGAACACCTGAAGGAAATTCACAGCAAATTGAATACTTAGTACTGGCCTTGACCCTGGTAAATATGAATAGAAGATCATCCTGGATTTCAGTCTGACTGCTGTTTCAAAACACACATTTTATAACAAATAGTAACTATTTGCTAATACAATACCTCATTTCAGTATAAGGCTTGGATTCCCCCACAATTCCTTACAGCTTCATCAGCTAGTTTTCCCAATTAGCAGCTTAAGGGTTTGCAATCATGGCTGTTAATTTATACAAATAGTCTGTGCCCAGCTCGATCTTAAAAGCAAACCTCAGGGTGCTGCATTTGCCATTGAAATTTAGAACAGGCACTAGTCAGCCAGCTGCTTCAAACTAGATTGCTGATATTTCGACAAAGTTCAGGTTTTTTAAACTAGTTTCTATAACATCTAGTATTCAAGTGAACATGAATTTGAAGTTTCATAGTGATGGCTAACAAAATCAAAACACTAGTTTGATACAGATTTTGAAATGTTTATGAATAAAGGTGCACTAAAAATGTTAAAAGATCATTCATTGCATAGATGACCATTAACATACACATGAGTTGTAACTTACAAGTTGAGAAGGCAACTTCTATCCACCACAATAGACTGTATTTTAAAATAAGTTTCCATGGAAAATGATGGAGAGCAAAAAATAACTGAAAAAAATTGTCAGCTACATAGCAAAACAAAAATCCCAAACCCTTAAAACAGCCCAAGTATTCTTTGCTAAATCACTTGAGTGAACCCAATGTATGATACAAAATAATAGATAAATACGTTATTGAAAAAACTCTGGAGATATGGTGGGTTCTGAGACACCTTTGATGATTTAAAGGGAAGGCTTCATTGCTCTTATAAAATTACTTACACAGTAAGTTTAGAACTAACCTGGATTTTTCTCAACTTCAATCATTTACCTGCGAGCCTGCAGATCAGACTGAAATTTAACTGTGTCAAGCCACGAGGCTCTCCTTACTGGAAAGCACATCAAGGTTCTCACATGAAATCTGATCATCAGCACAGTAGGATTAATGACAGAGGTGGTCAGGCTGATAAAGCAGCAGAACAGAAACCTGCTTAAATGAGTTTGGAACTGCATCTACGATAAAAGTTGTAATGCATTCTCACCCCTTCACACCAGAACTGCAGAGCTGTTTTCTGGTCGAAACTGATGCAAAAGAAAAGCATTTATCACTCAGTGTCTGCCTGCAGGGGGATTGTGGTTGTTTCTGTGAAAACAGACACCAGATACTCAGACTACCACCATCACTCCCACAGTAATGCAACCAACCCTATCCAACACCTTGGGATGTCTAGTTTAGCTCGCTGCAAAGGAGAATAGCTGGGGAAGGTTTTTAAAGAATTAGAGGACTTGTTTATGCACATAAAAATAAACTAGGTATCAGGGATTTCTCTCAATCAACAAATTCTCAAATTAATCAATTACTATGAATGGGGGAAATTAATCTTTTTTAGCTACCTTTCTCCCTCCACCTTAATTTGGAAATTCTCAAGTAAACAGGGGTCTGTTATTTCCTAGTTATTTAGACACAACCCGAATCTATTTGTACCTTTATACATGGCACAGCAGCTTCACCACAGAAGCCGTAAAGATGGATTCCAGTAACATACAGAAGTTTAAAACATTTAACATTAGAAAATGTCTCCACACAAATCCAGTTGCTACAAAATGCCTTACAGAAAGTTTTCCAAACAAAGTAAGACAAAAACCAACCGAACAAAACACACCAAACAAACCCTTGTTTTCAACTATTACAAAAGCTGGCTTTATAAAGAAATGTCCTGCACCAAGTCTCCTACACACCCCAAAATAAAGTTCTTCATGTCTACCCATCTGAAAGAATTAAAAACTTGTGTTAGTGAAAACTAAAATTTTATATATCTAACTAAATTTTATACATCTAACTAAACAGAAAAACTTTTGTGGAGTGACTTGCCTTTATACAAGAGGAGATATATGCATGGGGACCTCAATGCCTTTGGGTATTAAAGCAATATAAAAATTTCCATTTTCTAATGCAGGTATCTATTTACTGCAAAAACTTCAAGACAAAAAACACACGAATTGTTGTTCATGCCAATTGAAATGCCATGGAATGGACATAATATATTGTAAGATAGTTTTCTGGCATTTCATTGAGGGTAACATAGAGGGTAACTTCAAGTAAAGTCAGAAACTAGAACAAGGAAACAAATTATTTTTTTAGTGCCTGAAAGATAACTCCGTGTCCTGGACTTCTACAATAAACCTTACCAGAACAGTCAGAGCAGTAGAAACCAGCACTATAAAACTGTGTTTGACAAGTTGCTTTAAAAAGGTCTTTTCCATGTCCCACATTCATAGCACCAAGTCACTGACAACTCAGATTTTCTTATTCATATTATTTACTTCAAATCAATCTCTGATTATTTGAGTTAGAAGCGTGGCATAAGCAGCAAAAGAAACAGAGAAGAGCAGTCAATTGTACTGTAATTTCAGTGCAATAAAATCAGTGGTTTCAAATTCAGCAGCCATGTATGGAACTCCTTAAGACATGCATCTAAGTGATGTGAGGCAAAGACTAGCAAAGGAACATGTACCATCCCACAAAAACAATAAACCAACTGAATTAAAGACATTTACACTTACATATGGAAGAACCAAGACCCATCAGTGTTAAACAACACATGAATGCAAAAATACACGGCAGAGGTCAAAAATAAATCAGTTACTTTTAGTTTTTTCTCTTTCTCTCAAAAAACTCTGAAACTCCTCTGGAGGAGTGATAGAAGAAATATTTGGAGCCTGAGAGTTCTTCATCACTCACTCCTTTTGAGTAAAGCAAATATAAGGACTATAATTGGCTGACAGTCTTGTACATTCTCATCATCAAACATGAAGCAATCAACATTGAGAGGAAAGAACTAAACACACACCTTGAACACCTCTGAGAAGAAACCAGAGCCAATTTTCTCACATGTGAAGTCATCAAGACGAGTAAGTCTGGAAAAGGCACTTATCAGGGCTCTGTATGAAGAGGTACAAACTCTTCCTATCTGGGATGCAGTCCCTTCTCCAGTGCCACCATCAAAGTCTTCAGGGCGCTCCAGGCGTGGTGGAAATCCTGCTATTGAGTTCCGCTTACTTCGGTCCATTTTGAAAACAAGATTTTATTTCACTACAGGAGAACTTCTCACATCTTAGGTAATTTGCTGTCTTCTCTACTCTTGTTGGATCCTAAAATACAAGAAATTGAGATGAGCATTATTGTGAAGATATCTAGTAAGTTTGACAGGACTCCAATAAAGCTTACATCAGTTTAAGAGTAAGAAAAGAATGAAGATATCCAAGCAGAGGCACAAAAACCAAAGAAATAAAACAAACCACCAGACAACATCAACAATAAAGACAGCAACCTAACAAACTTTTCCTTTAGATTTATGGAAATACCCTATGCTCTGACTATTCTGAGACAAACAGGCTTCAAACTCAAAATTTAACAAACAGCTTTCATTCCCTTCCCCCCAGCCCTTTATTTTTTTACTTGAATTCTGGTTGCTACAGCAAGCAACTGAGCAGGAGGAAACACAAAAAATGTAACATTTTATTCTACTCCAGTTCCAGTTGCTGACCAATCTATGGCTACAGTGAGAGCTGATTTCACTTCTGGGAGTGAACAAGGGATCTCCAACTATAAAAAAATATAGGTAAATTTTCAATTGACATAAGGAAAGCTATTCACTTGAAGCATCAAAACCTTGCTTTTAAAGTTTCCATTTATGAGTGGTCCAAGACAAATTCCTTACCTGTAGGAACACAAGGTTATATCCACTGAAAGCTGAGTCCCTAAATTTATAAAAACACCAATAATTCTGCTACAAAAACAAAGTATTCTTATAACAATCTGCCAGACAAATTTTCCCCACAAGATATTTTTTAAAGCTATATTAATTTCAGTTCACCTGAAAACACAGGAAATAAGCTACATTTGCCAAGTAGGAAAAAAGGGGAAAAAAACGGAGGGGGACCAACAATTTTTTCTCTTTTTAAGAGGATGATGAAGTAATCAGGATGACTCTGGAGCCCATCAAATTCAGCTTGGAGTGGCAAACTTGACAGGTGGCCTAATTATTTTTTTCCTTTAAACCTTAGACTTGGGAGGTTATTAATCTATTCCAAACTCCACTGTTCATTTACAGCAATTTGGTGAGCACCTACAAAGCCTGAACAAAGTGAACAGTCACAAAGAGGATACTTTTTTTTTCCCCCAAGGCAAATGAAAAGCTAGAGGGAGGGGAAAAAAACAATAAAATTATTTTTTAGAAAGGTGGGCAAAATAACCACAGACCAGGCAATTACACTTCTATTTACAAAGATGTACAGAACCTAAACAATAACACTGCATTTGAAAAGCATCTTGAAAACAGAGGCACACCAGCTGTCCCCTGAAAACACAGCAGTGCTGCTATACCCATGTTTTGCATGCAGTGTATCTTTTCGAGATGCTCTGTGCCAACACATCAGGCAAACACGTAGTCCTCCCCTGCTTTCAGAAATAAGCTCTGCTGAACTGTCTGGAATTAATTTGAGGTTGTCTGCTCCAAAAAAGAAGGGTGTTTATTTCAGACATCTTAACACCTCTCTAAATGGATGTCTGTGGGTATAAGGGACTCTTACCAAGGCATGATTATGAAAATTTAATCTCTATCAAATCCCACATCATGGTTTTCCTACAGAATTTTGTATGCAGACTCACACCTGTCTGATCTTGTTGCACTTTTCAGATGATAGTGGTAAACTGGCACACAGGAGATCAGGATCCAGTTTCTGATCTCATATTCTTGACTCGGGAGCCTTGAGGGTCTGGAAAAGGCACAGAAGCACCACAGGAAGATAAAGCCTGTTACATGTCCTCGATGGAGAAAAGTAGCCCAGAGAACCTCCTCAGCTACAGACAAGGCACCTGGGAGTTTCCACAACCCGCTTAAATAATTCCTTTTGATCTGAAAAGGACAAGCTACTTTTGGTTAGTTTTGGTTATTTTTCAAGGAGATAAAGAATGAACTGTCTATGAAAGGAGAACAGAGAAGAAACTATAGTATTAACAATTAATTTTTTGGATCAGAAGATGCTATCTTTGAATATCTTTGACCAGAAAACCTAATTGTTTTTGTAAATTGAAGTAATTGAAGGAACAATTTTTTAGAACTTATTTCCATCAGAGTAGCACTCACATGCATCATTTTCCACAGAAGGAGGCAAGCATTTCCACAACCTGACAACCCAGTATCACAGGGTACCATAGGACCACCACTCCACAGAAAGTGCAGAACCCCCAAATAAATCCAGTGAAAAAACACATCTACACTGCAACCCAGCAAACTAAAGACTAGAAGTTCTCAGGCAAAGCAAGACTAAAAAATGAAAAAACAAAATGGAAAGGACTGCTGTTATTTTAATAAGAGGTAGATAGACAAAGTTAGATAAGCAGTATTAAACAGGAGGAAAAGCCTAAATCTCTTAAGTATCCAGATACCATTAACAAAAGATGGCCTCAACACAGTTTCTACATCTATTTAATAAAGCAAAAAATCTCCTTCACACATATACACATCTTTTTGATTGAAATCACATGGTGAACTTTGCAAAACTCTGTACAAATTCCAGAATGAGAGAAGAGATTCAATGTACTTCACGCAAAACAAACCCCAAAAGGTTTTGACATCCGGATTCCCAAGTAACCCATTCCTTCATTTTTGCCTGCTAGAGTTTACCTTTCCAGACAGCTACACAAGATCCTTGGAAATTATTAGGATACAGCTCCATTATCTTGCCCAGGACTGCATACACAGAATTAAAGGAAAATTTCAAGTGGGCACAATTCCAAGTGGGCCTCCTGTCATTTTGGCCAATTACACTAATGATCACATTCTCAATGAAATCAACCAAGGTTTAATTGACTGTCAAGTCAGTCTGAGGTACTTTAATTTACTACCTTGTACAGTTAATTAAAGTGCACTGAACAGAATCCAAGACTATCCTGTAAATCCTGCAAGCAACTAAAAGGTTGTTGGGTGGTTTTTTTTCATATTAAGGTTCAGCTTAAAAGCTCTTAAGTTGTGCTCAACAGACAGTTAAAAGACACTACACACTAGAAAAAAAAAATTCCTAATAAATTCTCAGCTTTCACAACAATTTTTCTGACACCCCCATATAAGAAAAACATACCCCACTCAGTCAAGACCAAAGTAATTCTGAAATTTACCTCCCAAAATGCCTATCTGCCCTATTCAGCCATTTCTTACATTTCCAAAATGCACAATTTCAGAATGTTTCATGCCCTACCACATTTTAATTTCTTGGCTTACCAAAACACACTTGAAGGAAAAAAACAACCCGTATTAATATTATATTAAGATCAGTTTCTTCACTGAATTAATGCGTTGATTATCTAATCATATGAATTACTATAAACACAACTACTATCAGCATTAATTTGGTTAATTAGAGATTTACCTTTCAAAACCAGTGCCAGAGCCTGCAATTATTTAAAGATGGGAACCCCACAACAGCACATCAAGTTGTGCCCTAAACATCAGTGTCAAACTAACAGGTGGCATATATTAGCCAGTAATTAATATTTTATACTTCATAGATATAAAAATGGGTAAGGCTCCTCAACTTCAGCAGCATCTCTTTTACACCTCAAGAGTATAAATCAAGATCCTTCCAAAAAACATTTCAACTCATTACTAAGAGGTTTTCTGTCCCCAGTATCTTTATAAATATGTGCATATTTGCACTCAAATGTCAAACTCACAGTTTCCTAAAAGATGGCCCTAATAACAACAACCATTTTTAGACACAGAGACCGTTGCTAGGCATTCAGCCTGGAAAGCAATAAATCTGGCAGATGCATGTTATTAATTTGAAAAGGTTTTCTGAAGAACAAGATGCCAAAGCTTTGACAAAAGTCATTTGCCAAGAGTTAACTATTTAAACTTGTAGTTTGATGAAGCTTCAACAGCCAGCACCACAAAAACAGAAAGGAATTATGCTGGCAAGTATCACTCAACAAAATAACTCAAAGGGGAAGAAGATTTCACTGTAGTGCTGCAGAAATTTCAGAAGGGCTTCAAAGAAATGTAAAGAACAAAGTTTTCCTAAGACTGAACTGACTGAAGTCTTTAGCCTGGAGGACCAAAAAATAAAAACAAGGAAAATATGTTTAGAAAGTAAATCCAAGAATTTAAACTGAACAGGTAAAGAGAACCAGGCAGCCAACAATTTTGTTCTCAGCTGCTGTCACTTGCTCTCCTCACAGGGCAAAAGTTCCTTGGTTTGTTCATAACTTAGTTTCTTGTCCTTGAGAGGAAGACAGTATCAAATATTTACAGATGAGGTAGCTACAAATACCAGAGTTTGGGCTATGTTTGGCCCAGCTCATCCTGAACCTGAAGTCTTTTTTGACTACTTTATGGGACAAGTCTTTAGGTTCAGTTTATAGTATTAGTTACAACACTGCACTTGAACATGAAAATCCCAATATTTTCTATTTTCACTTACATGACATTTTGCTTTAATTTCATCTCCCCTGTACAGGATAATTCCCAGCTCTAGTCAGTACTGTCATAGCATAAGCTTCCTGCAAACTAGGACTGACATTCCTCAGAAGAGGCTTACATTAGCCCTACTACCACCACTCCAGAAACTGGAAGTCTGCTGAACTGCATCATGGTTTTATAATGCAAACAAACCTCCAAGAGAGGCTAAGCTGAAACAAACAGTTCATTTATTTCGTGACTGTAGCCAAGTTTGAAATGAGTAAGAAAGACCAGCTATTACTGCAGAGCTCAGGATTCAGGGCCAAGGTTGTAGGTTTAAAAATATTTTCATCAGGCATAGGCATAAACTCTAGCACATATTTAGAAGGCAAATATAACCGAGGGAGAATATTAAAAACTCACAAACAAACAGAAAACTACTTGATCCTTATGCCTACAGTGTAATTACTGGCATTTTCTAGGGTCCAATTACACTACAAAACTTACGCTGTACCAAGGACCTTGCAACAATCCATTCCTCTCCTAGCCTGGTTTCAGTCACTCCAATCCACAGTGCAGACAGGCTCTAGCCTGGTTACAGAGCATCGTTAGAGTTAAATAAGCACTCAAGTCGATCATGTACAAGACACAGCTGCTGCTTCAAATGGATAATTTTAATACATTATGTTTGCT